ACATACATTGGATAAAAGGTAACCTCTTCAACAAATGGTGCTGGGAAAACTGGAAACCCATACGCAGCAAAATGAAAATAAACCCCTATCTCTCTCCATACACAAAACTCAACTCAAACTGGATCAAGGACCTAGGAATTAGTCCAAAGACCCTGTGCCTAACAGAGGAAAAATTAGTCCTAAATCTTCATCACATTGGATTAGGCCTCAGCTTCCTTAACAAGACTCCTATCACACAAGAAATAAAATCAAGAATTAATAAAGGGGATGGATTCAAACTAAAAAGCTTTTTATCAACAAAAGAAACAATCAATAAGGTGGAAAGAGAGCCTATATTTTACTAATTTTTGCTGCTCATATTTCAGATAGAGCACTATTCTCCGGGATATATAAAGAACTCAAAAAACTTAATACCAAGAAAACAATCTAATCCATAAATGAGCTAAGGAGGTGAACAGACATTTCTCAGAAGAAGATATACAATGATCAACAATATATGAAAAAATGTTCAATATCTCCAGTAATTAGAGAAATGCAAATCAAAACTACTCTAAGATTTCATCTCACAACAGTCAAAAATGCCAATTATTAAGAATACAGACAAAAATAAAAATGTTGGTGATAATGTGGGGGAAAAGGCACACTCATACACTGCTGGTGGGACTGCAAATTGGTACAACCCATCTGGAAAGCAATATGGGGATTCCTCAGAAAACTTGGAATGGAACCACCATTTGACCAGATATTCCACTCCTTGATCTGCATCCAAAGCATTTAAAAACAGCATACAACAGTGATGGAGCCACATCAATGTTTATAGCAACACAATTCACAATAGCTAAATTGTGGAACCAAACTAGATGCCCTCAATAGATGAATGGATAAAGAAACTGTGGTATATATACACAATGGAATATTACTCAACATTAAAAGAGAATACAATTATGGCATTTGCAGGTAAACGGATGGAGTTGGAGAATATCATGCTAAGCGAAGTAAGCCAATCACAAAAAACAAAAGCCTAATGTTTTCTCTGATAAGTGGATGTTGATCCATAAAGGGGATGGAGGAGGCATGGGGAAAATGGAGGAACAGTGCTTGGGCAAAAGGGAGGGAGCGTGGGGCATGTGCATTTGGATAGGAAAGATGGTAGAAATAGATGGACATCATTACTGTGTGTATGGAGTGAGGCTACATTGTGTACAACCACGGAAATGAAAAGTTGTGTTGAAAATGTGTACAATGAATCAGAATGAATTCTGCTGTCATATATACCTAAGTAAATTAAATAAATTAATTACAAAAAGGCAGAGGGATAAAGACTTCACATAGAAGATATAAACATATATAATATATATATTATATGTATATATAAACATATATAATTTATATCTATGTACATATATATGTATATATGTATATATACACAATATAAATTATATGTGTACATATAATATATATATATATATATATATATATATATATATATATATATAAAATTTAAGTACACAGAATTAAAAATAAAGTGAATTCACTGAGGGAGGGAGAACCTGAGTTCAAATAGAGTAATTATTGATTAATTTAGTCCATTCCCCTTTTGACAAGAGATTTATCTGATGGCTGAAGCAAGGACTACCCTTGGTAAATGTTTTAGGTGATCAAAATCTGCTACTTTTAGGTGTTCCTTCATCCCTTTCACCAATAGGAAAGATAATCTATCTTACATGCCACCAAAATTGCTTTTAAACATCTTCCAAAACAAACAAAACTGAAGCACTTGATCAATCTGTCAAGATTGTTGGAAGATTTTTATGTCTTCTGAATTGTGTTTTACTGATCAGTATCCCAAAAAAGCAAATGTTCATTTAAGCCTCAAGAAGCTATGTTCCACATGGCTCACTCTACTACAGACAGAAGATAGCCAGTTCCACACAATGACCACAATTGGTGGAGAAAATCTTCAGTGTGTACCTTAATGGAACAACAAACATGGCCTGCTGATGTTTTTAGTAACCTTTTTCTTCACCAGTGAAGTAATTTTTGAAAGTTGAGGCTGCAATAGGAAAGAATGGAATACATTACCCTTTAAATATATACCAGCAGATGCAGGACCCTTCTCGGATTTTCCTACAACAGCTTAGGCTGGTTGTGAGAGCATCTTATCTCTGATAAGATGCAAAGTGCCTACTATGTGAGGGTACATTTATCTTGCTTGACTTTTTAAGCTAGTTGATACTGACTTCATACTCTTTTTTTCTGTTCAAATCTCCAATTGTGTTTATGGATGAATAGTGTGTATCTCAACAAAGAGGAGGCCATTATCTTGTGTTTCCCAAGGCTTTTAAAAGTACAGCCACTTTTTTTAAAAAAGGAAATCTTACAATTCCTCTAATTTTTACAGTTAAAAGGAAATCAAGGATTAGTATTAATAAATACTTATTAATACATGGTTTAGGGATACATGAGAAAAGTTGTTGCAGTGTTTCTTTTTTATTTATTTTTATTTGTTCTTTTTAGATATACATGACAGTAGAGTCTATTTTGACATATTATACATAAGTTGAATATAACTCCCCATTGTGTGGTTGTACATGATGTGGAGATTCACTGGCATGTATTCATATATGAACATAGAAAAGTTATGTCAGATTCATACCATTATCTTTCCTCCTCATATCTCTCCTGCCTTCACTTCATTTCCCTTTCTCTAATTCAATTATCATCTATCCCTCTTCCTCCTTATTGTATGTTAGCACCCACAGTTGTCTTCTGTGATGCTAAGGTTTAGTGTCAAAGCAAGCCAAACTTGGGGACCTATAAAATTCTTTGTCTTAACACATTTATTTGTGGTTGAATAATTTGGGATACATAGTCTTTAGTTGAGTTGGTATTGAAAAATATGAAAAAGTTCTCTGGTAGTGAAGCCTTAGTAAATAATAAGCTTTTCCTGGTCATTTCAGAAGAAGATAATAGGTATCTATTAATAAAGAGGATGCATCAAGTGTTGTATAGAAATGCACCTTGAAAGCATATCTAGTCATTAATATGTTTTACTTTGGGAGGGGAAAGCTAAAAAAAATCAAGGGATTTTTTTTGGTTATATCTTGCTCCATGTTTACGGAATTATCATTTCCTTCTTTTGATTTTTCAGTGAGAAGGTCTTTAGTTAAATGAGCAAAATAAAAAGTGTATTTCTCCTCTGCCCCAAGAAGCCACAGTATAATTGTGATTGATCAGGTGCCACAGGCAATGAATGCTAAGGTCCCTGTGGATGTGAGCACTGTGGGGCAGTTGTGCTGGGACGTTCATCCCTCATGAGAGCTGCGACAGAGGATCAATCTGTAGATTTATTATCTGAGAAAAAAATAGCTGTCTCTTTGATCTTTGCCCTTGGAATATACACTGCTTTCTCTGTTACATATATGTTGATCTGCTTCCAAATTCTTAAGAGTAACTGGGCATAGACATCAGGGTTCTGAACAGGCTAAGTGAGGCCTCTGTTTTATCTGTTTCAGTACCTGTGGTAGCCCTGCTGTAATTTGTTTTACTCCTTCCTACTCCATCTGAATATTCAGCACTCTCACATACCCACTTAACTTTTTTAAAAAAATATTGGTGACTTTTATGTGCATCATTAAAGGATGTTCCATACTGGAGTGATGGCTCCCCATTCTAAACTGACCATTTTCCAGTCCTCTTACTGGGCACTTAAGGAAGGAAATTATCTATCTTGAAGGTGTGCATATTTTCTTTCTTTCTTTCTTTCTTTCTTTCTTTCTTTCTTTCTTTCTTTCTTTCTTTCTTTCTTTCTTTCTCTCTTTATTTCTCTCATTCTTTCTTTCTCTCTCTCTTTCTTTCTTTCTTTCTTTATTTCTTTCTTTCTTTCTTTCTCTATTTCCTTTTTCTCTATTTCTTTCTTTTTCTAATTGGTAAGATGTTGTCTCCATGTTAAGACATGGTAATGCTTTCTTTATCTATGGAGTGCTTCACTATAGCCTTTTATTTCTACTTAAGGTATGTTGATGTTTGCTCTGAGGAGATTTTAGCAGAGAGAACACTACAACTGATATTATACAAATTAGTGACTAATTGTGTAGAACTTGCTAGGTACAAAGTGAGATGATTTCAACATATTTATAATTGTTTTAGACAGCTTTTTCACTGCTGTTACTAAAAGATCTCACCAGAAAACTGTATAGAAAAGAAAAGTTTCAGGGCTCATGGTTTAAGAGGTCTTAGTCCATAGAAAGCTGGCTCCATTCTTCCAGGCTGAACATCATGGAGGGAAACTTTGGTAGAGGGAAGAAGCTGACATCATGATCAGAAAGCAGAGAGAGAGAATTTACTCTCTAGGTACAAAATATATACCCCATAGCCACGCCTCCAATGAATCACTTTCTCCAGCGGCACCCCACTTGTCTCCAGTCATCACTAAATTAATCCCATCAAGGATAGACTCACTGATTATGTTAAGGCCAAATAATTTCTCCTTCAAACCTTCTTGCATTGTCTCACATGTGAGCTTTTGGAGGGATACCACATCTAAAACATAACAATAATCAAACATTTCTCAGAAACCGTTATGAACTTTCCACTATGTTAAGAGGAATAAGTGCAATGGAAAAGCTTAATGAGAAACTGTTATTTATATCAAGGAATTTTTGTTATAGTTTCTGGTAATGGAACCCAGGACCTTTAGCATGGTAAGTACTGGCTTTTCCATTAATTAAGCTCCACCCCCAGATTCTAGCAACCTTTCATCTTGGATGTGTCATTTTCCAAAACTAGTAAGTGGTTTAGAGAATAAATGAAAATAATTTAAAGGAACATGAGCCATCTTTCTTATAAATTCTGACTTGTGATCCTTTATATATTAGACTTTTATTAATCAACAGTTCATTATTTTTACCTGCAATTTAATCAGCCTTCCTTGATTATATTCAATGCAGACCCTATATTAATAGAACTTTCTTTAATTTATTATGCTTTTGTGTTTACACTGGGATCATGAAACCAGGCCTCAATGCTATTATGGAATGCACAGGTGTAAGCAAAACTTTGTGAGTATAACAGGAAGTATAAGTCAGCCTTTGTATTTCAGTGCGCTTTTAAACATCACTTTGGTGGAAGCAGGTGTTGATTGAGCCTTTGCTATGTGTGCCAATCTGTTCCTAGGTGCTGGAGATAACATGCAGTTGGGCTAGCTTGTTGCTTTATTCCAAATACCAAGAAGTCTTATTACATCAGCCTAGCTAAGTGTGATTTATATGCAGCTGTTACCATATTATGAGATAATCAGGAGGAAAAAGAAGGGAATGATATTAAAAATGGGGATGGAGCAGAAGGAATAATTGAAGACATGAGTTTAAAGAAAGGAGTGGTTTAGATCCATCAAAGTCAAATAGTCAAGAAGGTCACATGGAAGGTCTTTGATGGATAAACTGCAGTTACCTTGCTTTTACATTTTAGAGCTTTCTTTTAACATAAAATGTAAAGGAAGGTGAAAATGTAAATATATGTAAATGTATATACATATGTATATATCATGTACGTATACATATATATATATATACATATATATATATATGCATATATATGTATATATGCACATAGAGAGTAAGAGAAAGAGAGACACTTCTACTCAGCCATACAGAATGATGAAATTATGTCATCTGCTAGTAAATGGATGGACCTAAAGAACATCATGCTAAGTGAACTAAGCCAGACTTTGGATATCAAGGGTTGAATGTATTCTCTCATATGCAGAAGCTAGAGAGAAAAAATGAAATAAAAAAACAATGTCATAAAAATAGAAATCAGTAAAGATGGGGGAACAGGGATAGAAAAGAGGGAAAATAATGGGGAAGAACGGAGCAATAATGTTGACCAAATGATGCTGTGAGTATATATGTATATACGAAAATGCATCTCAAATTTGTATATAACTATGATGCATCAATTAAAAATAAATAAATAGAAGGAAAATTAATAAGTAGAGGAAGGAGATCAGGGAATGGAAGGAAGGGAGGAAAATGGAAGTACTGAGGATTGGAATGAAGCAAACTGTGTTATATGCACTTATGAATATGGCATGATGAACCACACTATTATATATACCCATTATGCACTAATAAAATGTTTTAAATATGATATATGTATATACACACATATATATTTGTACAATTTTAGTTTAACCATAGATTTTTTTGACTAGTTCTCTTTCTACCTGGAGCAAAATTTGGATTCGGAATAGCTGAGAGATATGGTCTATGTTGGGGTAAAACACAACATATATGTTTTTTTGTAGCTTGCTGGATGTCTCAGCTGAAAGGAAAGATCCAAGTGGATTATCTGGAGACATTTTGATTAATGGAGCCCCTCGACCTGCCAATTTCAAATATAATTCAGGTTTTGTGGTTCAAGTAAGTATTAGCTTGTCTGTCTTCTGGGTTTCCCCTACTTCTGTATGGAAAGTGCTTTGGCTTATGGTTTTGTGTGCTACCAGTTGGATTTACATGATTAAGTAATTGACTTTCTTTACACCAGCTTTTCACAATATCTGCTTAGATTGAAGGTGGAACAAATCGGAAAGGTGGAGAGGACTTGTAGGCAGTGGTGTCAATTCTACTTTTGGTATCATTTCCAAAAGGGTCTGCTGTTGTCCTTTTTGTCCTTCTTTCATCTCTTTCCATCCCCATGAAGATGCCTTTGTCAAATCTTCATATAAAGCAGTTTGGATGTGTTTAGAAGTCTTCATAATTACCTGTGCTCTACCTGGGTTGCAGGTGGGGGATGAAAATGCCTCCTTCCAGCTCTGCAGCTGTCTGTACATGAATCACTGAAATTTGTAGAGTTGAAAGTTCACCATTAGATAGAATTTTACCTTGCTTATATTGTTTTCATGAATTAGGTTAAATACAATAGAGTGATGGTCTTAGAAAAGACACAGTGTGCCCCTTTGAAATCACATCTTTCCCTTCAGGATGATCTCGTGCTCAGCACCTTGACGGTGAGAGAAAACTTAGCATTCTCAGTGGCTCTTCGGCTTCCAACAACTATGAAAAAACATGAAAAAGATAAACGGATTAAAATGGTCATTGATGAGTTAGGTCTGGATAAAGTGGCTGATTCCAAGGTAATGTGAAAAAAACCAACAGAACCAGACAGGAACAAGGACCTCCCTGTGTGGACTATGTGACCTTAATCAGAAGTTTCCTAGAGCATGTGAGGTCAAAAGTGTCTGTTTTCTGTAATGATGAGAAAAGTGACTGGTTACATACTATGAAGGTGGAAATGAAGCTGGAAAAGCAATCTTAACTGTGGTGTGATCCTGGGGATGGAGTTTTGTCCCTGTGGAGAGTGCTCCTCATGGCCTTTTCCATGGTCCTCCCACCCTCATTTTTCAAGTCACAGCTCTTTTGATGTCTTTGCACTGACTTTTCTTCTTTCTCTTTTTCTCTGTCTCATTTCAGCTGCTCTTCTCACTCTCTTCCTCTGGGGAATTCTGTTCAGTTGATATTTTTATATTTCTGGAATTCATAAATGACTAGAATCCAAAAATCCTTGCTGTTTCATATTGGTGTAATTTGTCTTGAAAACTATACTTATTCTCATTAAGATTTACATTGAATTTTTTCAGTGACCAGGTTATTTTTCCATGGCTTCTTTGGCACTTTTGTTGCTCATCCCCTCCCTCATTCTCTCCCTTCTTCCCTTTTCTCTGGCAATATTTATTTCCAGACTCTTATAAACCAGGCTCTTTCAAGTTTGAGGAATGCAGTTGTCAGCAAGAGTAACAAAAAATAGAGAAACAAACTCCTCCTATTGTGGGTTGTGCAGGATAAAGGAAGAAAAATGAGATGAAAGAGTTAGTTTTATAGTTGACCACTCCGTACAAAACTTTTGCTGATGAGACATTTGAAGATTGTGATGATAATGAGCCAAATAAAATATGGTGACTCTGGATTAAGCCCCTGTGACATGCCTCCTAGAGGCAATGAAGAAGGGGGTACCACTGGTTGTTGCTTCCTGTTATATTTGCTGATAGTTTTCTTATGTGAAATGTATTTTGTTTAGAAGAATAACCCTGTGAAGCCACCATTTTCCATTTATTTTAGTTTAAGAGTGATTAAATTGTCATTACTTTGGCTGTTTATTTACTTGATTTTTTTCCATATGGGTGCATATTTTTCTTACTCTCTTTTAAGCATTCACTGGCCTAAGGTGCTTGCTTGTATTTCTAGGAAAAATACAAAGAGGCACATTTGGCTCATAATTCATACATTCTAACTGATTGAAATATTTTTTTAATTTTTTAATTTATTTTTTAATACATGACAGTGGAATGCATTACAATTCTTATTACACATATAAAGCATAATTTTTCATCTTTGTACATAAAGAATGTTCATGCCAATTCATGTCTTTAATACCTATATGCTGAGGGCCATTGCCAAGTAGGTATGACACATGGCATGACCCAGGTCATTTGCAGTGACATTGCATGTAAGGTGACCTTGCTCAAGGACCAGGGCGGATCCAGGTTTAGGGTGTATCCTGCTGGGATTAGGGAGTATCCCACTCCTTTGGTTTAGGGCAGTTCCAGGTTTAAGGTGTACCCTGCTGGGAATAGGGTGTATCCTGCTGCCTCAGGCACGCCAACTCCTTGAGTTCCCATTGAGTTCTCACAGGATTCAGAGAGTATTTGGGATTTTGCCCAGAACGTGATTTGGGCCCAGAATGTGATTTGGGCCCAGAACGTGAATTCCCCAAGAACGTGTGTAGAGTGCCGGTGTGAGTTCGGGAATAAAGAATTGCTGTTTGAATCTACAAGGCTGTGAATGGCTCGTGATTTTGTGCCCAGCCAGACTGCGGCACATATACTTTGGGGTTTTTTATTTACAATTTTTATTACACATATATACCACAATTTTTCATATCTCTGTTTATACTTAAAGTATGTTGACACCCAATTCGTGTCTTCATACATGTACTTTGGATAATGATGTCCATCTCATTCCACTATCCTTGCTAATCCCCTGCCCCCTCCCTTTCCCTCTCACCCCTTGTCCCTATCTACAATTCATCTATTTCTCCCATGCTACTCCTCCCTACCCTACTATGAGTCAGCCTCTTTATATCAGAGAAAACATTGAGCATTTGTTTTTTGGGATTGGCTAACTTCACTTAGCATTATCTTCTCTAACACCATCTATTTACCTGCAAATGCCAAGATTTTATTCTCTTTTATTGCTGAGTAATATTGCCATATATATACCACTTTTTTTATTCATTCATCCACTGAAGGCCATCTAGGTTGGCTCCACATTTCAGCTATTATGAATTGTGCTGCCATAAACATTGATGGGGCTGTGTCCCTGTGGTACACTTTGTGGTATGCTTTTTTTTTATCCTTTGGATAATAATCCAAGGAGAGGCATAGCTGGGTCAAATGGTGGTTTCATTCCCAGATTTCTAAGGAATCTCCATACTACTTTTCATATTGGCTGCACCAATTTTCAGTACTACCCGCAATGTATAAGTACACCTTTTTCCCCACATCCTCACCAACACTTATTGTTCTTTATCTTCATAATAGCTGACATTATGACTGGAATAAGATGATACCTTAAAGTAGTTTTGATTTGTATTTCTCTAATTGCTAGAGATGATGAGTATTTTTTCGTATATTTGTTGATTGATTGTATATCCTCTTCTGAGAAGTGTATGTTCAGATCCTTGATCCATCCATTTGTTGATTAGGTCATTTGTTTTTTTGGTGCTTAGCTTTTTGAGTTCTTTATATATCCTAGTGATTGGTGCTCTATCTGATGTGGAAGGGGTACAAATCTGCTCCCAAGATGTGCTCTCTGTTCACCTCACAGATTGTTTCTTTTGCTGAGAAGAAACTTTTTAGTTTGATTTCATCCCATTTATTGATTCTTTTTAATTATTGTGCTAAGGGGTCTTATTAAGAAAGTTGGCACCGAATTCACTTGATAAAAAATAGGGCCTACTTTTTCTTCTATTAGACACAGAGTCCCTGGTTTAATTCCAAGGTCTTTGAACTATTTTGAGTTAAGTTTTGTGCATGGTGAGACATGGGGGTTTAATTTCATTTTGTTGCATATGGATTTCCAGTTTTCCCAGCACCATTTGTTGAGGAGGCTATCTTTTCTCCAGTGCATGTTTTTGGCATCTTTGTCAATTATAAGATAATTGTAATTTTGTTGCTTAGTCTCTGCATCCTCTATTCTGTACCATTGGTCTACTAGGGTCTGTTTTGGTGCCAATACCATGCTGTTTTTGTTACTATTGCTCTGTAATATTGTTTAAGGTCCAGTATAGTGATACCACCTGCTTCACTCTTCATGCTAAGGATTGTTTTAGCTATTCTGGGTCTCTTATTTTTTCAGATAAATTTCATGATTGCTTTTCCTATTTCTATGAGGAATGCCATTGGGGTTTTTATCGGCATTGCATTAAATCTGTATAGTGCATTTGGTAGCATGTTCATTTTCATAATATTAGTTCTGCCTGTCCAAGAGCAAGGTAGACATTTCCATCTTCTAAAGTCTTCTTTTATTTCTCTCTTTAGGGTTCTGTAGTTTTCATTGTACAGATTCTTCACCTCTTTTGTTAAGTTGATTCCCAAGTATCTTATTTTTTTTTAAGTTATTGTGAATGGGGTAGTTTTCCTCATTTTCTTCTCAGAGTATTGTCACTAATATAGAGAAATGTCTTTGATTATGTGTGTTGATTTTATATCCTGCTACTTTGCTGAATTTATTTACTAGTTCTAGAAGTTTTCTGGTGGAGTTTTTTGGGTGTTCTAGATATAGAATCATATTTTCAGCAAATAGTGGAAATTTAAGTTCTTCTTTTCATATACATATCCATTTTATTTATTTTGTCTGTCTCATTGCTCTGGCCAGTGTTTCAAGAACTATGTTGAAAAGAAGTGATGAAAGAGGGCATCCCTGTCTTGTTACAGTTTTTAGAGGAAATGCCTTCAATTTTTTCCCCATTTAGAATGATGTTGGCCTGAGCCTTTGCGTAGATGCCTTAAGATGTTGAGATATGTTCCTATTATCCCTAGTTTTTGTAGTGTTTTGAACATAAAGGGGTGCTGTGTTATGTCCAATGCTTTTTCTGCATCTATTGACATGATTCTTATCTTTAAGTCTTTTGATGTGATGAATTACATTGATTCATTTCCATATGTTGAACCAACCTTGCGTGTCTGGTATGAATTCCACATGATCATGGTGCACAATCTTTTTGATATGATTTTGTATTTGATTTGCCAGAATTTTACTGAGAATTTTTGCATCTATGTTCATTAGAAATATTGGTCTGAAGTTTTATTTTTTTGATGTGTCTTTGCCTGGTTTGGGAATCAGGGTGATATTGGCCCCATAGAATGAGTTTGGAAGTGCTACCTCTTTTTCTATTTCCTGAGATAAATTGAAGAGTATTGGTATTAGTTCTTTTTTAAAGGTCTTGTAGAACTCGGCTGTGTATCCATCGGGTCCTGAGCTTTCCTTTGTTGGTTAGCTTCGATGGCATCTTCTATTTCCTCACTTGATATTGGTCTGTTTAAATTATGTATATCTTCCTAACTCAATATGGGCAAATTGTATGATTTAAGAAATTTGTTGATGCCTTCAATATCTTCTATTTTATTCGAGTATACGCTTTCAAAATAATTCCTAATTATCCTCTGTATTTCAGAAGTGTCTGTTGTGATATTATCTTTTCCATCACATATGCTGTTAATTTGAATTCTGTCTCTCCTTCTCTTCATTATCATGGCTAAGGGTCAGACAGTTTTATTTATTTTTTCAAAGAACCAACTTTTTGTTTTGTCAAATTTTTCAATTGTTTCTTTTGTTTTGATTTCATTAATTTCAGCTGTAATTTTAATTATTTCTTGCCTTCTGCTTTTGCTGCTTATTTTTTTCTTTTTCTAGGGCTTTGAGATGTAGTGTGAGTTCATTAATTTGTTGACTTTTTCTTCTTTTAAGGAATAACTCCATGCAATGAATTTTCCTCTTAGTTCTCTTTTCATAGTGTCCCAGAGATTTCAATTTGTTGTGTCCATGATCTCATTTACCTCTAGAATTTTTTAATGTCTTCCTTGATGTCTTCTGCAACCCATTTTTCATTCAGTAGCATGTTGTTTAGTCTCCAGGTGATGGAGAAATTTTTATTTTTTATTTTGTCATTGATTTACAATTTCATTCCATTATGAACTGATAAAATACATAGTAGTATCTCTACTTTTTTGTATTTGCTAAGAGTTGTTTTTTGACATATTATATGGTCTATTTTAGAGAAGAATCCATGTGCTGCTGAGAAGAAAGTGTATCCACTTGATGCAGGTTAA